CCGTGAACCTTGGGGCAACCTGCCTTCAACCTAAAACAACGGCCGCACAGCACAACTAGATAGACTTCGATTTGCTCGTGCAAGCAGTACAATCCCGTATATAGGTGGCGATGTTCAGTGCCCCGTTATACATTACTTTCCTCTGTGCTTCTTGAACGTCTCCTGTACTCCCTTTCCTGCCTTGATATCCTGCATACATCGCTCATCAACTTCCCTGCCTGTGGTAGCCAATGTAATGACTGCATCAGCGAGGGCCGTAGGAACACAAACGACACCATCCTCGTCGGCCACGATCCAGTCCCCTGGGGATACGAGGACCGCCGGGAAATCCTCCTCCGAAACGTCAGGACGAATGACAATAGGTACGTTGACCTCCGATGGGCGAGTGAATGGCGATTGACCAAGCGTAGAATGGCCCTTGGCGAAGACGGGGAAAGAGGCCGCGCGGTGCTCCGCGAGGTCCCTGCAGCGGCCAGAGATGATGACCCCCTGCGCGCCGCGAGCTTGTGCACCGGCGGTCATAAGGCCACCCCACACGGCATTTTTGACTCCTGCAGTAGTTCAGGCCGTGCAATAAATGTCTCAGCACAAGCGTAAGCGTAGGTCAAGGGAGGTTACTGAACGTTGCGGCGCGTTGATGACGATGACCGAGCCCTCCGTGGCCGTGTCCACAAAGTGCGCAGACAGCTTGGGTGCAACGGAATTGGTACCCAGCACCATTTGGACCGTATAGGCGGGCCCGCAAATGCGGGTCGTCGAGTCCGTCGGGGACAGCATGTGTATGTCAGGGATATGTCCGCCGTGCGGGCTCCCCAGCTTGATCAGCGCGTCGGAGATCTCGCACGTTGAGAATACGGCGAGCGCGGCCTGTATACTGGCTGCGTCGGGCGGCATTGGGATGGTCGCGGTTAACGAGCGTTGAGTAGTGCGTGCGGATGCGCATGGGAATGCATCGTGTACGCGTTAGAGTTGTGGCTCTCCGCTGGGATCCCGCACGAAGGGACAGACAATCACAAGCCCCGCCATTTTAACCGCCGGATAAGCCTCGGTTAGGTGGTTCGTAATTAGGCTTATCCTTGGCTTATCCGTGATGCTTGCGAAATCCCTCCGAACCCGAGTGCTCCGATCAGCCTCAGCCACAGCAGCCACCGCCTCCGAGAGCCCGAGTGCACTCTTCCCTTCATCCTCAGTTCCTACGCGTTACGTTCCCGTTCTCCAGCCTATTCACTCACTCTTTGGCGATCTGCTCGACTGCGGCAGTACTGCTTGAACTTGGCGTAGGATGCCCCGTCTACCCGACTCCTCGGCTGGCGAACCACTATGGAGCCGTACAGCTCGCCGTTCACGCAAGGCAATCCGTAGAGTGAACAAAGCCGTCATGCGCTCACATCACTTTCGCATTCCCAAGTATGACATGCCAATACGGTTTCGACCAGTGAGTAGATGTAATGGAGCGTGGCCGCCTCGTCTCATTGACCTTCGTTACTGCTACAGTGGTTTGTGATCTTCACCTGCCTCATTCTCGTCATCCTAGCATTGCTAGGCTTTACCAACTTCTCCCATGCGCTGCCTCTGAATGACAAAGTGATGCACTTTCTCTGTATGGGGACAGCGACGGGGGTGTTCTACTTTATATTCGACGTTGAGGAGTACGTGCCCGTCCCCCTCTAAGCCCGACCACTGTCATTGACCCCAGACGTCCCTACCTTCAGGGATGCGAGGCGCATTTGGTTCTGGCGCAGTGCGCCCTTGATTTTCTCTGGGATTGTTTGCTTCTTTTTTGGAGGCATTGTCAGCGAGATCGTACAGTCTATGTTGCCAGTATGTCGCTCTGGTCGATTAGCGCGGCCGATGTACTGACGCCATGCGTAGTACAAAGAGTTCCAAGTCGGAGACATCGCGGTCAGCATATCGAAGCTTTACTGACCCTCACGAGCTCATAAATTCTTCATAGGCTAACCTCCTAGGCTCAGCTGTAGGGCTCTACATTGCATACCATCTTGAGCGGTATTATCGGCACAGGCGAGAGGTATGGCATATTGCACTCATGCACGCATCGCATTACTGAAGGGTAGTGTAGATATCTCGCTTGTACCAACCTCTGGATACCGATGGGATGTCCGAAGACGAACAGGACTCCGACGTAGACGCAACCCAGCTCCTCCCCCTGCACTACGAGCCGCGCCATCAGCAGAATCCCACGAAGCCGAACCGCGGGGCACCCAAAAGTGTGCGCATTGCAGACGTATGGGATGAACGAGAGGATCTATTCGACATTGGGGATGAGAGCGATGAAGAGGACGAGCCGCGCAGCCGGGCTGGCCCGCCGCCTCCTCCACCCAAGATCGTTGTCAGTGGTCACTGAGTAATTTATTGTAGTACTTTGTGGACTGGAACATAATGTTTGTAGCTATACGGTGTTGGAGAAGGGCGGTTCAGAGGAGCTTGCTGTTATAGTTCAACTTTTCAACTTCAAGTCTGTCGAGGCCTACGTTGCGGTGGCTGCGAGCCAGCTCGCGACCTCGCGTGCAAGCGGGCGCGTCTAGCTATGATCGCGACTCTCATCCATGCCGACATGTCTGGCCTCCTCTTCCGGCCTCCTTCGCTCAGCTGTGCATCCTCATAGCTCATACACTCGTGAATTAGTGCGACATGCGGCGCGCAACGTCGCAGGAAGTCGTAGGACGCGACCAGGCGTCCGTCGGGCCGCGCTTTCGACGTCGACTGGTGCACTTCCGGGAAAGCACGAAGAGCAGCGAACGCACACATTGACCATTCTGCACAAGACATCTGCCCTGATCCCTCGAATACTACCAAGCTCAAGGCGAAGTCCAGATGGACCGTCTTTGCACGAGTCTCTGCAGTTCTGGGAGGATGTACTTGGCCAGGTCCACGAAGACCTGTCCCTCTCCCCGGAACAGAAGGACAAGGCTAGAGTGAGAGTTGTAGGTATGTCGCAGTATTGCATGCATGTATACTTCGTACGCACTTTGTGCACTGCGTCCGTGGTGCTGAGAACTGGTTGCGTCCAGTGTATGGTGTGGACGAGCACTCGGGCGTGAGCGACTTGGTGACGGCCCTCCTTGAGGACCCGTTCGTTTCCGAGGAGCAGAAGAGAACACTACGCTCGCGTTGGGAATCTCAGCCAGAAGGAAGTCGTTTCGTGAAAGTACAGTGCGTTCATGTGTATCCATCCGCCCACTGTCGTATACTCAGCCCTCAAACAGGTATGGCACGTCGCCCGGTAGCGAAGGTGACATAGTTCACATCCAGTCATCCTGGCTACAACACTTTGGTGTGCCATTGGAGCTATCCGAATATAGGCCCTCTTTTGCGTCCGAGAGTGCAAAGGCACTCTACACGGCCGACGTGCCCATCATTCTCTGCGACCCTACTTCCACTCCCCTACCTTCGATCCTCCCCGTCTCCCCAGAACCGCTTCCCATGACGCGCAAGCACACCATCCTAGCCATTTCTGTACCTTCCCCGACGCAACCCGCCGCGAGCGCGCAGGTGTCCCAGATCAAAGCCCTTGCCGCACAGGAGGGCCTACGAGTGGTCCCGGTTGACCCCGCTCGTGCGTTGCACGGTCTGGAGCAGCTCAGTGGTGGCCCTGCCACACCTATATCCGTACAGAGATACCAGGACGACGTCACAGGTTCCAACGTTGCCAGCGTCACGCAGGCCGTGAAGGCCATTCTATCGGGTGCCATAAGCAACGATACGGGTCTGACCGAATCTTCCCGCGTGGTCGCCGTGCACATCCAGACTGGGCGCGCACTCGTTCAGGACGCGCTGACGACTTGTCGTGCGGTCTTGCGACACGCGGAGCTTGAGGCGGACACGGTGCTAACGGGCACTAGCTCGCTGCGTGGGCAAATGGAGGAGGCGAAGGCCAAGGTGCACCTGGAGGTATTTGGGTCTCCTGAAAAGAACGACGACGAGATCGCAAAGGCCGTCGGGGAGGCTCGGAAGCACGTCAAGGTCACGATGGATACGCTGCAATGGTACAAGCTCTTCTGGCGAGTGGACGATATCCGCGAAGTTGTCACCGCTGCCGTAGATAGGGCGTGGTGTAGAGACCTCGAACGGAAGGTAAGCACCACTCGAGCTTGGAAGGCATGCGAGACCGGAATGCTCATCATGCGCGTGTTCACAGCTTGTGTTCCATGCTGGCCGCTTGGCGGCTCTGCAGTCCTCGTTCAAGGACTCAACAGCTGCCCTCTGCCGCTCCTTCCCACCATCTTCGCCTTACCACTCACCTGTCCTCCACAACACGCTCGAGCGCATCATATCCTCGCCCTCATATCCGCTCACCGCGGGCGTGCTCACTGCACCGCTACGTTCCCGACAGAGCCAACTCGGCTTCCCGACCGAGCGTCTGCACGTCTCCGCACAGCGCGCTGTGATAACAATGAGCGGGAGCGTCCTCGGAGGCTTCAGCGTCGCCTGGGCAGGATGGGCCAGCGAGCTCGGTCTCATGGGCGGACTGATCAACGTCGGCATGGGTGTCGAGACCGCAGTGGGCGTTGGCATGCTCGGCGCAGTACTTGGCGTGCGCTGGGCTGTTGGACGATGGGACAAAGCGAGGAAACGTTGGTGGAAGGACTGGGATCGCATTGGCGAGGGTTTGGAGAGAGACCTAAAAGTGAGTGCAAGTCTCATGCGCGATCCATTGGGCGTGTTTGACGTTGGTGAATGTTTGAATAGGCTACCCTGACCCGCGCCATGGAACAGCACGTCACTCTCGTTCCTGAGACGGCATGCTCTGGCTTGGAAAAGATTGTGACAAAACGGATGGCGGAAGTGCAGGAGCTGAAGGGTGAGGTGCGGACCTTGGAAGCCGAGCTTAGCGTACCCACTCCCAGTAGTGCACCTCAATAAGATCGACCGCTTTCAAAGCTGCTCCTTCGGATACTACAACCTTCGCTTTGAGCAAAACCACCACATGAGTATTGCCCTAAGCCAGGGTAAATCTTGTTGCAAGAGATGCACAAAAATACACTGAGCGGGAGTCGAACCCGCGCCGCTTGCTACCGTGCTTGGTGGAAGGCAAGCATGATACCGTTTCACCATCAGTGTGTTGATATTCGCTAGGAAATGCTGTACCTGACTTTGCAGTAGCCAATCTGTATTTCATAGTCGAAGGCGGGATGAGTATCCGACAGAAAATCCGACCGATGAAGTGAATGCAGTGTATCTACGTAAAACTCGCTCTACCAGGGCATCTAATCCAGTACAGCGTACTTCCTCAGGTGTTCTGGAATTGCGGATTCCAGACCCTTTGCTTGTAGCCACTTCTTGGAGAAGAGGCGACTCTGGTACCGATATGCACCGTCGCACAGAATGGTTGCAATCGTCTTGCCTACGTGATGGTCAACCAGATGTATGCCAGGCGAGAGAAGAAATGTACATACCTGGGCCAAGCTTCTTGGCGAGTTCGACAGCAGCAACAACGTTGAGCGCGGAACTGGCACCGAGGTAGAGACCCTCGGTGTCCAGGAGATCATACAGCATCGCTATTGACTTCTCGTCGGGAATGTGCAGAGCTCCGTCGATGTTCTTCACGAAGGTACCCAAGTTGTTTGTGATGCGGCCCTGGCCGATACCTGTCCAACATTCAAGTCAGAATCAAATATCCCAAGGCGGTTGCATGAAGACTTACCCTCCGTGATCGAGCCACCACTACGCTCCGTGAGCTTTCCACCGCTCGAGATGTAGCTGTAGAGCACACTGCCAGGCGGGTCCGCCAGCCACACCTGCGTCTTGCCATCGCTTTTCTCCTTGAGTGCGCGGCCGATACCCGCCAGTGTGCCGCCAGTGCCGGTAGCGCAAATGAAGGCGTCAACCTTGCCCTCTGTCTGCTCCCAAATCTCAGGGCCGGTAGTCTGGTAGTGCGCCTCCGCGTTCGCGGTGTTGTCGAACTGGTCTGTCCAGATCGCGTTCGGGAGGCTCTTCGCAAAGTCGCGCGCCTGATGGTTGTAGTTCGCCGGGTTCTCGTACGCCACGGCGGGCACTGGGTGCACCTCCGCGCCAAGCATGCGCAACAGATCGATCTTCTCTTGGCTCTGCGTGGGTGAAGGAAGGAGGGAAGATTTACGTTGGACGGGATGTACGCGAAGGGACCGCTAAGGTTACGTACCTGGGTATTTGGCATGAAAATCACGCAGCGGTATCCCCGCGCTCTGCAGACGTGGGCAAGTCCGATACCAGTGTTACCGGCCGTACCCTCAACAACCGTTCCGCCGGGCTTTAAGCTGCACTCCGTCAGAATAAGGCATTCGAAGCTCGAAGGGAGCGTGCTGCACTCACAGACCTCGTTTCTCCGCATCCCTAATGACGCCAAGCGCAGCGCGGTCTTTGACGCTGCCACCCGGATTCTGGAGTTCGCTCTTCGCGACGATATTGCAGCCTGTTTGTTCAGAGAGCTTATGCAGGCGAATCTAGAGGGGTCTTTATTTGAGCGGTCCGGCAAAAGAGCTGTAAGGGAGACCGACCAGTGGTGTGTTGCCTATGGCACCGACGAAGCCGTCAACGGGACGAGAAGTGAACGCGCGCGTGAGTGGTCGCGCTCTAAACGCAGCAGAGATGGACTGCATGGCGGTGAGGGTGTGAGTGAGGATTGTGGCCTCCAAACGGAAGACTGCCGGAGGGATGGGAGGGAATTATTATAGCAGGTGGCCGGCATGGTCGAGCTGGTTTATGAATGGCCGGTCGCAGCGAAGGCGTCATCATTAGCAACGTTCTCGCCGCCATAGATGCTCTCTCTTTATGTAACCGTATTTCAAACCACCACATCTGCTGTCAAATCCCATTTTTTCAACTGGACGTTCTAGCACACACTCAACACCGTACACAGCGAGCGTCGATGCGTTCTACTTGACTCGGCAAAGTCTCGGGCAGCCTCGGACACGTTATGTTTTCAACCTCAAACTCCGTATGAAATTGCGAGAAGGACAGGCAGGTGGTAGTAAAGCACAACTGTAACAACGCAGACGCAAGGCGGCAAACCAGAAGGTGAAGCAGGCGGGGCCTATCCATTAAAGTGCGAATACATGGGTGTATCATCGAGGGGAAGCGGGTAACACATAAACAGGAAGAGAAAGAGTAGGTAGGTGGAGAGGCAGCTAACGGGAGAGCGGGAAACGTGTGGACTGGCTGTCCGTCGTGCGAGCGATCGTGCGTCATGCGGGCCGTGATATGGTCGAGATCACCAGAGACATGTCGGGGTATAGAGCAGAGTGAATAGGGAATACCAGCCGATTTTCCGAAAGCAGAACGTGGACGAGACCAGTTTACTGCTGGCGCTTTTTCACGTTCTGCGAGAGCCATTGCAGACCCTCAAACAGGCCCTCTCCAGTCGTCGCGCAACTGTACAGCACTTAGTAGTGATTTATAGTACAATGGGCTGGTGGCGCTTACCTTGGGTGAACATACCATGACCGGTCGCGCATACGGTGAAGGCCCAGCTTCTCAGTAACCTCCGCCGGTGACATTGCTATGTTGAGAGATGCTTAATCACTGTCTAGGTTTCGCTGTTGAATTCGACGCACCTCCGGGCAAATCCTGCTTGTTTGCGAAGACCAAGAGTAGGCACTCCTTCATCTCACGATCGCTCAATATGCGATGGAGCTCCTGTTTCGCCTCGTCTATACGCTCGCGGTCCTGGCTGTCGACGACGAAGACGAGACCCTGGGTGCCAGTGTAGTAGTGCCTCCACAAAGGCCGGATCTTGTCCTGCCCTCCGACATCCCACACGTTAAACTTGACGTTCTTGTATGTCACCGTCTCCACGTTAAAGCCGACTGTGTGTCACGAATGAAAAGCGTCAACACACCGCCCATACTTTGTTCCAGTACAATGAAGACGCACCTGTGGGGATAGTGGTGACAGACTGGTTCAACTTGAGCTTGTAGAGGATGGCTGGTGAAAGCAGGCGCGTCTTTCAGCACTGCACGGGTGATCACACAATGACAGGCCCACTCACTCGTCTTGCCCGCCGCATCGAGTCCCAACATCAGCAACCGCATCTCCTTGTTCCCAAAAATCTTCCCTGCAGCGTGGGACATGGCCCTTCGTCAGCACACATGTCGCGCGGTCGCACGGCTGGCTGCCACGGAGGCGAGAAGAAAGCAGGACGCGGGAGACGCACCCAAGGCCTTAGAGAGGTTGGCACCCATGGCTGGCAGCGGATTGCAGAAGGTAACGAACGACGGGGGGTGAGAGTGTGAGGAAGAACGGGAGAGTCAACGACAGAGCACGGTCGCGTCGAGCAGGAGCCGCAGAGTGACTGTCACTCCCCCGCCGAGTGGGCAGGCGCCCGTCGCCGTCCTCGGTGCGGACCCCGGCCACCACCCCAAATCAGGCCACTTCAAGCGCAGGATTCGGGAGAGCATGTTCGAACTTCGTGGAGACTGGGGGCAGATTAAAGCATAGCAATATTACGTAGCGTCATAAACTCTAGCATAAGTACACAACACTCCAGGCGTACTCAGATGGTATACACAACACGCGGTCCAAGTCCCAGTAAAACCTATACGTACTCTCCGATCAGCGAGAATCAAGATGACGGCTGCACCGTGCGGGGCGAGGCCAGTTGCGACTGGTTAAGCACCTTCAGCCAGCCCTCGCCCATGTCCGACCGTAGCGCCTCAATGCGCGCGCGGAAAGCGTCCGCCTCCCGAAACTGGCTATCCGTCGTGTCCTCTTTGCTGGGCTCGTATACGGACGCCGAAACACGTGCACGCCTGGCTGCTGAGCGGGACATGGTTGGCGACTTGCGTAGTGAGCCGTGAGAGGACGGTGCAAACGCCCCTGCAGAATCAGCGAGTTCCGAGCTCGTTGTAGGAGCAAGCTCGGTCATATGTCTGCTGTGTCGCGACTTCGGCTTCGCGACCAGGGTGGTCTTCACGGCGAGAGGTGACGCCGCGCCTTGCTGCGGGGGAGGCGCCTGGGATTGAGGCGGTAACTCAGATGCTGCAGTGCGCTGAGCAGGGCTGGACGTTCGGGGCGCAGCAACAGGGCGGGATGAACTCCTCGCGCTCCCGGCGTCGCTTGCCTCTCGTCCGCTATCCAAGTCAACTATACGTTTGTTCCTCTTCTTCCGCCCTCGTGCCACTGCTGCTGCTAGAGGCGGAGAGGTCGGCTGGGACGCTGGGGAGTTGGTAGGGGAAGAATGGAGTGGGCTCCCGCGAGGACCTGCAGTAGAGTTGACGAAGGAGGGACTGCCGACCGGCACTACCGGGGGAGACTGAGCGACAGATACTGGCCTTGAGGACGTCATCTGCTCGGGAGGAGGAGAAGTCAGAAAGCGCTTCTCGTAGAAGCCGGGAGGGGATCCGTCAAGTAGGATGTTCTTCTTCTCCTTCCAGAAGTAGTCAAAGCAACGGATACGGTAGCCCTCTTCGATGTCAACAAGGGGATTGCCTTCAACCCATACTTCTGCTATGTTCGGCAGAGTAGCCAGACGACCAATTTCGGCGCTCTCTTCGATAAAGTTGTGTCTGAGATCGACGCGCTCGAGTGCGAGGAGTCGCTCCAGCCCGCATATTGACTCTAGCCGGTTCTTTGCTAAGTTGAGGGTAAGAACACCCCCGAGCATTGTGTAGATACCGAGCACGGAGTCAATCATGTTGTCCGACAAATTGAGATAGACGAGGTTGTAAAGCGCGGAAAGGCCGGACGGAACAGACACCAGAAGGTTGGAAGAGAGGTCAAGGTGCGTGAGTGATGTTAAGTGGGTGAGGAATGACGTCGGAAGGAAGGTGAGGGCGTTGTCCGCAAGGGACAGGTGACGGAGGAAAGCCCATTTCAGGGAAGGTAATGTCGGGGTAGGAGACGGCTTCGGGGTATCGGGCTCCTTGGGTTCAGCCTGGCTGTCATCCTCGGCATCCTCGTTGTCTTCTGGGACTGATTCCGGCAATCGTGTGCTGTGGAAGGACGACTGTCGCGACACACCCCGAGAAATTTGCCGAGACTTGGTTGAGCTGATCTTGCCCTCGCGCCTGGCCTGGTCGTCGAGCACTGCGCCGATGAAGACGTCAGAGGCATCCTCTATTCCACTTCGTTTGATAGTAAGGCTG